GTTATATAACATCACAATTTATGATCAGGTGTAATCAATGTAATAGTTTCTATTATTATTTCTTCAAATGTCAGAATAAATAGTTGAATCACAAGGCAGTAAGAGGGTTGTTATAATACTGTGTAGCAATGCATTGCAAGTTGAGACTAGTAATGGTTGCTACACCACGTTATTAGAAATTTGTATGTAACTTATATAAAAGAAATGTGTTTTTCAGGATAATATTTGGACCAATGCAGGCAGAGGTTCTAACCTAACAATACAGGGAACAGTGGAGTGTTATGCGGGACTCATGGATGAGAGGTCACTAGGATTTGGTGCCGTAGGAGCCGTACCAGGTATACTTGTGAAAGAATGGGAATTTGTCGTTTTTGTTGAAGGCTGTGAGAAATCTGACCTATAGTTTTATATAATGAAGCAATATATAATTTGATAGCATTCATATTTTCTGAATTTGCAATATATTTTAATAACATTTCAAAAATATTTGCAGATATACAGAATCCAGTGCTGGTAGCCCGGAAGTTATTAAGCCAACAAGGCTGAATTTTGCCAAGAAGGCAATCTCTCTCTAGGGCGTATTGCCCTGTGGTAAGAGCCCGGTTAGTTACCTACGACGAGTGTGGTATTATGATGGTGGTGAAGAATGTACAGTCACATCTCTATATAATGATTACTGAAAGGGAAAGCGAGGAAAGGTGAAATATTATATATAATCAGGAAGTCAGGTTGTTTTCTCGACCATTACTGAATGTAACAGTTTCATAATAAATCCGTTAGATAGTAGCCCGCTTGCTTAATCTGTACGTAATTCTCAAGCGCTTCATATGATGTCACACAGATAGGTACTTAGTAGTAACACTAGGTAGTAGTAAAATGAAAGTGTCAATGACACTGTAGCTCACCACACAAAAGGACACAAATGAGTGAGTGATTTACAAGTCCATTGAAGGAAAGTCAGTTTTAATTGAGCAACCATCGACGTATTCATAGAAACGAAGAGTATATATGGGAGAACTCCCATTATATACTCTTGATAATTATGTGTAAATTTTTATTGTGAAAATAATAAATAATATTACATATAATTATAAATAATTTATAAACAAAAATGAATACACAATTTGTGACGGTAGATGTGCTATACCCGCTTTGATGTTTCTTAGCATAAATCATTATATCATAATAAAAATAATATAATAAATAAATAGTATAAATCATATGTTCATAGCAGGAATTTAGCATTAAAGAATATTGTCAATGAAATCTTGTAAAAACGAACCAGACGAGTGTGACACCTACAGACTGTTTGTTATCTGTGTCTATATAATATGCTATATATATTGCCAAACCCTACCTAATTTGCCTAACCTGATTTTTTTTAAATATCAAAACCCTAGCCCTTATTCATTCACATACCAAAAATGAGCACACTCCGTTGTACCTGAACTGACTAATGCAATTCCCCATTTTTTGGCGAAAAATTGCCGTGGCTCGAAAGTACGTCGACTGGCAATAGGACGTTTAATATGGGAGCATAGCAGTAACAACTATACCCAATTTCAAACATGTGGGTCAAACGGTTCCTGAGTTATCGTTGACCGTAGCCAAATGTTGACGGACGGACGGACGAACGGACGGACGGACGGACGACGGCCCATGGCAATAGCTCAGCTTGACGATGTCAAGGTGAGCTAATAAAACCACCTAATCCCAGGAATACATCAAGAAATGTTTTAGAGCGAGCGTCCGTTTCTTTTAGCGCGTAGATGTATTTTTTACCACTTTCTGGAAAACCGTGATTACAGTTAAAAGAAGTTACTGCTTCGCTTTAGCTTGTTTTTGGGGAATTTTGCCAGTTGACTCGTATAAGTTTGCGCAGTATTTCACTGGAACTAATTACACGCGTAAGCTATGCCTACTAGCTTGCCAAATTGGCCCACTGGCAATGATCTTTAACACGCGCGCGCACGCGCACACAGGCACGCACGCACGCACGCGCGCACACACATATACATATATAACTATATACAGCAGTTATTTAAAAATAAGTGCACGTGTAGCGTGACGTCCTTATTCCTTGTGACGAACTTTTCCCATTATACATTGTGTACGGGCAAATAATGGTCAAATCCACATGCGTCATGCACCTCTCAATCGGCTAGACAGCAGAGGGAGGGGTAGGCTCGTCTCAAAGGAGTAATGCTATGCGTAGACGAGTCGAGACCAGTACAGCTACAAGTCTCTGAACCAGAGCCCGAATGACAGCGCCATCCATCTACATTGAAAAATACGCAGTCAAGTGCGTACTAAAAACGCGGGGAGGTGTAAGAATTTCTGCACGCGAGAAACTGAATTAAAAATAGCAATCATTTTTGAGTAAATTCAATATCCGTAGGTAAATCAAACTATACATTTTACTCACACATCTATTTATCTTTTTACTCTCGATTTCTTCATCGTGCCTGACCTCCAACAAAACAGCAATGTTATATTCACATGATGTATGTAGCTCAATAGAAATATTAAACCTAGTTATCCTGTCACGCCAGCGGCATTTGTTAATGAAATTTATTTTAAGTGAACCTTGATGTTTACACACAGCTGATGGTTAACTCGTCTAACACCTATGCAAATGGCTTAGCTATGCACCACCTCCAAATGCAAGTTTCAGTCACCAAGTAAAAATAAATTACGACCCAAATAAAGTAACACGCAGAATAACGCCACAAGATATCGGTATGTACTCCATAAGATCTACTCGCATCTCAATGTTATACAAGCAAAAAAAACAAGAACAGCAAAATCATGAACAGGACAGATACACACGACTGCATAAGGCTCACAGTCAATAATTTATTGTCAGGCTTACATAAGTCACAGGTGCAAGTTTGTATACTGCGTCTCGCATCACCCTAGTCATAAGACACCACTGAACAACAGCGAACTGTTCAGCAGAACTTACAAACTACCTTCTAAATTTCAATATCACACAGTTCTTACAGCCACCTTTTGTTCAACGCGACCACGAGGCACTCAAGAAGTGTTAGGTTCCAAGAATAAGGTAATGCATTTTCGAGAAAACGAAAACTCGATGCACGTGGCAAACGTTCGTAACAATCATCTGCATATTTTGTCGACAATACCTGCGAAGAACGCTAGCAATAGATCTTCCTTGTGATCTGCTTGTCTCAAGGAAGCGGTTAATCTTATGAATGTGATATGTAAACACTTGTCTATCATTGAGTCCTACACATGTTCGTCCCTTTTTAAAGTCTTTTCGTTGATAACAACCGCAATAGCGTGTGTTTTAGAGAAAGACGAAAATAAAGTACTGTGGATACATACGGAGGAATGTTTTGCGTTTGTGAACTATGCTATTATCAGATTATCCTGGAAAAAAATATAACACAAAAATACTTTTCGACAATTGAAGCCAATTTAGACAGTGACGTGCTATGCGCATCGCTTCAATATATCTGTTGTCGTGCAAACTATATAACTTCTGAAGATGTTTGCTGCGAATCACACAAATTGGCACCTTTGATCAAATATCAGGACCATTCTCCAAACCACGCCACTTGCCACCGCAACAACTCTACTCTTCACATCCTGCGCAACTGAATTCAAGAGAACAATCATTGATCTGAACGATCGAAAATGCAAATTTGTGAGACTGTTGAATACTTTGTTGGCGTATATAGAGCATAGGCTATAACTAAGTAACATCCTATCCGAGATCGAGACCAATACTCCACGCAGCTCAACGCAACTCCAATAATAACCAACCAGCTCCCGGTGAATAAACCAGCCAACAACAAATGACAAAGTTGACACTGTGCGACCTAGAGCAGAAACGGAGACTGCAGCAGCTAATAACCGTGACCGCCTCAAATTGCTAACGACCATATCGCCATGTTCTATAGTTTGATTACCTCGCTGCTAGAGTAACATTACTGGGGTAGAATTACTCAGGATATACAATGCATGCTAGTATTTGTCGCCCAACAATGACAGTAATAGAACCTTGCGGGAGAAAAACATCACCGCTCCAAAAACACCACACATATTACGACTGAAGTTTTTTTCTCAGATTTCCATTAACATACGACGAAAAACAAAAGTAGTTTCCAAAAACTGCTGTAAAATGAAACACGATTATGGACAAGAGAAGCTGCCTAGATAACAACTCTACGTATGTCATAGCAGAAGAACATGATTCGTTGCGTAGAGGGGAGGGATAAGCACTGGACTGGCCACAAACCAACGATGCAACATGCATTCACTTGTGTCAAATAGACTTCAGTATAGATCAACAAAATAAATAAATAATAGATATAAATAAATAACATACTACTATTATCCTGAACGTGGTACATACATGGAAATTTCTTGTTATATATATATATATAATTATTTATAGAACAATCACTGTTTATCTTTGGTTTGAGAATATATTTTATCTAGTGATTGAAACTAAAAATTCACAATATACACAACATCTTCAGTTCATTTAATATTTATCTTTGGTCATTAAGACTTATGATTAAAATTGGCTCTTTGCCATATTTTAGTCTCTATTCTTTGTTCGACAGCTGCGTCTCAAGTACATCTTTATCGTGCTATACAGAAGACGTTTGTTGCCATAGCTGCGATATCCTATGGAAGTACTCCATATACTGACTACATCTACTGTGTCAATGCCTTCAGAATGGCATTCACCTCCTCAGCCACTGCATTCAGTGCGAACTCGAACTGCTCCTGTAAAAATAAGAACAGAAATACACAATAAGAAAATGTTCTTATGATGACTCCATACTGACTCTCCATATTCCATAATGACTCGTAATTAAAACCCCCCTAATTTTGGAATGGTTTGAATATTTTTAGTTCGCTGCTCACAAGAGAATATGAAGAAAAGTTTTAATTCAGCAAGTTGTGTTTTAGTGACCCCAACAGCAGTGTAGTTGCATGACACGTAACATCTAATGTTGACTTGAGAATTAAAGCTGGTTTCTTCCCACCGGTGACTAGGAAAGAACTAATAGAAACAAAGTAAAAGAGGTTAATCTGATGGCTTTGACAAGGTGTATATTTACCTTGGTCTTTACCATTCCGATTCTCTGGTCACGAATGTGCTCCAGCGTGGCTGCTATGTCAATCTCCTTCGCTCCTAAGGAGGCACATACAATTCGATAAGATTCCAATCTACTACTAAGCATTGTACACCAAAATACCTTCAACGATCATGCACATAACACTTACACCCGAATAAGAAGTATACGCAATCAACAAACATATAAACTCTGCATGAAAATCACTGCAGGTTATTATTGAACATGAAAACAACTGATAGTATAAATAGTAAGTAAGTACAACTGATAGTCAGGATGCCTATTAATGTATGTGGACTGGCTACGATTAGCAAGGCAACTTGAATAACGTGGCATTGTTGGCAGCACTAGAATGGTTAACTCGAGATGAACTGGATTGGGATCACGATAAATGCACCAAATTTTGAAAGAGACCTACCCTTGGTCAGGCGGTTAAGTACCATGTCAATTAAGCAGTACGTGCCTGAGCGGCCACTCCCATCACTGCAAGTAACAAGGTAAGGTTTACATATACACACACACACACACGCACGCACGCACGCACGCACGCACGCACGCACACACGCACACACACACAGCACACGTCTTCTAACCATCATCTCTCCTCATGCACACGTTGTCTCATTTGAATGATGCTCTTAAGAAATGTTTCATAGAGGTTTGCTTTGTAATGTTGTTCTTACCCTTTACATTTTTTAACTGTCAGGTAAATTTCAAAATACGACTACAGACAGGAGAATTTGCTCTAGGATGATTCATGGTAGAAGTTGGCACATACCCGCAGTGTACTACAATGGGGCAAGACCTTCCTCTGTACGACTTGTTAACTTTCCTGCAACACAGCAAGCATGCATCATAAAGCTGTGTTAAGGTTCCTTCTTTCGAACCATTGCAAATAGAGAGAAAATGCCATAACCTGAGCGATAGCGGGTGGTATTTACGTACAGCTGGCAAAATATAAATCGAGATTAAAAAATACGACAAATACGACAAATTTACCTCAGAAAAAAGAGCGAACACAAGTAAGCTATGGGTATGAGCGTGCACCTTCGTCATACCTTCTGAACTCAAGCAGAGCCTTGGCCGATGATGGCACAGAGTAAGCCGGCCAGGAGAGGAAGTGAAACTGGGTGACCGTGCGCGTTTCATTCGTCTGCAGGTTCTTAAGATAGAAGCTTCTCACCAGATAATCGTCACACCAGATGTGCTCAGACACAAGGTGCACCTGTATTCATTGGAAATGCAATCACTTAGTGTGCGTGTGCAACTTAAACACACATAAGCTTCATGCTGATATTGTTGTCACTAATACTGCCGTTTCAGCTGCTGGTGTTTCAACTCTTGCTGTAGCTTCTGCTACTGTTGCTGCTGCTATGTTTATGACATTTACAGTTATTCACACAACTAACACAATAAATGCGTGTTAAAATAACATTCCTAGCATTCCTAGGCGATGCCTTAAAACATGCCAACGTACTGTTGGCATCATATTCTACAGGTGCTTCTTGCAATATTCCTGCATACAACGAAATTACATATAACCACCAGGGTTCTGCCTACGGTGGGCGGCGGTGGGCGGGTGTGCCCGGCACTCGCGGTTGCCGCCCGGCTCGGAATGCAGGAAATTGAGTTTCAGACTATCCAAAATAAAAAAATTCCGGGGGTGTGCCCCCTAACCCCCCTAGATTGGCTTCGCGCCTACGGCGCTTGCATCCTGGATGCGCCCGGCACTAAAAAATCCTGGGCAGAACCCTGAAGCACTCCACCAGATAAAGCCTCGTAATCACCCCCTCCTGCTCGTAACATACAGTAATGTGCCTCACTAATTTGCTACTCTTCCTCATATCAGAGCTCCAGTTGTGCTGCTATTCTCGTTCATTCTCACCTCGTAGATGTGATACAGTTCGCTTCCTTCCTCGGGCCAATAGCGATGACACATGGAGACTCCGTTCTCGGTGAGCCGCGTCAGAGTCACGATGACGACGCTGCCCTGCTCCCACACCATCTGCCAGAAGTCGGCGACCGTGTGCGGCAGAGGTCCCTGCGTGACGATGTATGCCGGGTTTCGTGGGTCGTGGTCCGTCTGCAACACAACCGATTACACGTGAGCGCGCATACGTAGCCGACGAGTTAATGTGATTGGCCGTGGCATTGCCATTCGGTGGCCCAATCATTGTTGGCAACTTCAGGCTTACCTATCAAAGTATATAGTTACTAATGAATTATTTTTGTTATGTCATACTCGTTCTATTTACCACTTAATAAGTCTGAATTATGCGGCTTAAAAAATGCTAAACTATTTTACAAAAACTAAAACTGAGTTACATACATTTTGCATTTATATTAGCACGTTAGAAGCAAGAGAAGCCAGTAAATACCGGACTATACTAAACAAACCTATTCAATTAGTAAGTATGAGTGGAAAACATTAAGCAGATGAGACACAAGTTCTGTCCCGGCTCACCCGTATACCACCTAGGAACGTAAGCACACTTACTATGGTATTTGCATTGATGTAGTCAGAACCGTTGACGTTGGTGCTGTCATTGAGAATCACCCGTGAATGATCGTCTATGAAAGTAGGGAAAAACTTTATTGATGTTGACACCAACACACATATGTCTGCTCCCAAAAACCAATCAGTATCCAACTGTTTTGAGACGATGACGGAGAGAGAGATATGGAGAAGGAGAGAGAAACTGGGAGAGAGAGAGAGAGAGAGAGAGAGAGAGAGAGAGAGAGAGAGAGAGAGAGAGAGAGAGAGAGAGAGAGAGAGAGAGAGAGAGAGAGAGAGAGAGAGAGAGAGAGAGAGAGAGAGAGAGAGAGAGAGAGAGAGAGAGATGGAGGAGAAGGACAGAGTGAGACAAGGCAAGAGAGAGAGAGACGACATCGGAGGGACGTCAGCTGATGAGCTCATTACTGTATCATACACAGGCAGCAAGACATCTATACTAACAAGGAGTGGCTTCAGGGAATCTGTTCTTCAGCATGTTCTGTTCGATCTGGGAGATGGAGTTGTTCGAGGGGTCAGCTTCGTACGCTGTCAGGGCCGTCCACTCCTGCTGCAGCCGGTCTTTGTTCTTCAAATGGTCCTCCATGTATGCCTGAAACAGAAGCAACTCCTTTTCATCCCAACCCTTATACATGACAGATGAACTAATTACGTGCAGGCATGCAAACATGACCAGAATTAACAGTTGGTGAACATGTTACAATCTTTATAGTACCGATGTGATGCTTAATGACACTAGAGCATTAAGTAGGTAATGAAATCAGGTAATATATATACGAACATAATGTCTAGGAGGAAAGCACATGCCTCAAAGAACTAGCTCATATCACTCTGATACAAACACGCACTCTATGTAGCAAAGCTCAAGGTTTAAACAGACTAACTTTCCCTTATAACATGTTAAGCATCAAAGAGGCTTGTCCTGATCGGGCGTAACTTATTGCCAATTTATTAAATTTATCACAAATTGACAATCATATACTCGGTTATATTATTCTACTTTTCCTTTCTTACCTAGTTCTATTAAGCATATTTTCACTATTGAATACCTATTTATCTAACTGTAAATTTGTTATGAATCTAGATCTTGAACTCCCCCCTACATAAGATAAAACAGTCACACATAAAAAAAGCCATATATCACTAGTCAAGTTATAGCAAAGCCTTTATAATTCATCGCTCACTCAGTGAATTAGAAATGACGTGGCTGGCTATAAGATCCAATTGGAAATACAGAGAGAGCTTCGCGTGTTACATTTCAAACAAAACACTGCAAGTTGGTGCATTCACTCTGACAACTGTACCTGGCACTGCCATTTCACAGTTCAACAGTTATGCAGGTGGATAAATCCATAAAATTGTTTTTTGATGCACTGGCTAGTCCATTTCTTGCAAAAAGAACTGAAAAGCTTCTGTTTTCAAACATAAGAGCAGATGTTCAGCCAGCAAATCAGTTACAGTGATCAGATATCCCAGCCCAGAGTTCTGCCACTGAACTACAATACGTTCATAGAAATGGACATGATAACCACTACGTTATGCAGCTATAGAGAGCCTGCATGAGCGAGCTACATACCCATTAGATACAATAAAATAATCCATCAGAGTAGGTATTCCTGTGCCATCAGGCACATAATTCAATTTGTAGTTTCAATTTCTACTATATTATGAGTAAAAAAGGATAAAAACAGATCATTTTCATCATCGATCGTATTCTAGAGCTAATTCTAGACATGCGCGGTTGTTTTTGGAAAATGAGAAAAACCTACATTAGGGTCATTAATTTCCATGTTTACTCATTTTAAATCATCAGACTTTACAAGACGTTAGACATAATAATTTAATGAAGAAAGGTCAAACATAGCGATGACCTTGGCAATAGACAGAATGGCGTGGACATTAGCGAGTTCTGCTAGACTTGCTTAATTAACTCTAGTGTCCAGTAGTGATCGATAATGCTTGCTTCACCCCTCTCCAAGGTGTTGGTGATGGTAAATGTAATAAGAAGTTGGTACATGCATGTTCAACCAGACATTGATCACACACACGTGGACAGAGACTGTCACCAAGCAAGGCCCACGTCAGACTATTTGCACAGGCAGCTAGCAAGTTAGCGCTAGTTTACATTTCGCTAATGATACACCCACGTGGAAAGTTTATACAGGTAACACCTGAACATAAAGCTCCACATCCACGCTCTTCATGCTGTGCGTGTGCCAGCAGGTGTCAGCGGCACCAACACCCGTCCGTGGTAGGCAATGCCATCGCTACATCACATGAACGAGCATCTCTCGAAATCGAACTATTTGCACAAGTGTTCGCGTCGTGTAGCTCGTGTCTCGTTTCTAGTATGGCACTTGATACACATCCGAGCACGCAAAATGGGCGAAAAAAGCGATAAACGCTACTGCAAATGGCCGCGCAAGTCGTCTGCTAAAAAAACACTTCTTCACAGTGCACTCTACCCCTTGGGGTTGCTATCGCGCGTGTCAGTGTCGCGCAGATGCCACGACTGCTCGTGGGTTTCCACACAGATGGCTTTCAAGTGCAACTTCATCCATGATTTGCACCACTCGTCGTAAAATCCCATTGAACCCGATAAGTAACATTATGTACTGAGAATGGGAACAATGAAAGTGTCAATGACACTATAGCTCACATTGGGTGTGATAGAAGAGGGAGATGATATTTAAAATTTGGTAAGTGTTTCATTTATGATGGACCAAAAAGTCCAAAATGTGATTAAATGTCCTTATTCCCCGTTTTATACTAAAATTTCACTGTTTTGTTTCAGGGTTAGTTTTGATGCGAAAATAAATGTTTCAGATCTGAAAGTCTGAAATCTGGGCGAGAGATGGCGCTACACCTAAATGATCGCTATTTTGGTTTTCGATCGCGCAAATAAAAGCAATAAAATATTCCAGTCAAATTACTGTAACGAAGAATCTAAAACGCAATATTACACGTAGGTATGCTTAGGTATGTAGATAGGTAGGTAAATTGAACAAAATCGAATAAATCTAGATGGCCATTTTTATTTTTGCCAAAAAGTGAGTGTGGCTCGAAATTAGGTCGACTGGCATGCTCCAAAATAGGACGTTCAAATCCCTCCCATAGGAGTAACAACTGTATGCAATTTGAAACATGTGGGTCAAACGGTTCCTGAGTTATCGTTGACCGTAGGCAGACACTGAAATGCACAGTAAAATTGGCAAAATCTACCTAATTTGCATAATTAAAAAAAATATCAAAAGCCCTGTGATATGTTTTGGGGCCATTCCTTATTCATTCATATACCAAAAATGAGCAAAATCCGTTGAACCTGAACTGACTTATGGCCATTTCCATTTTTGTCAAAAAGTGGGCGTGGCTCGAAAGTATGTCAACTGGCGTGCTCCAAAATAGGACGTTCACATCTCTCCCATAGGAGTAACAACTGTATGCAATTTGAAACGTGTGTCAAATGGTTCTCAAGTTATCGTTGACCGTAGCCAAATGTTGATGGACAGACGGACGGACGGACGGACGGACGGACGGATGGACGTACGACGGACGACACCCCATGGCAATAGCTCATCTTGACGATGTCAAGGTGAGCTAAAAACGTACGTACCACTCACCAAAGAAATGCGATCTGTCTTCTATCGCGTTTGCGGACATAATGCAACTACCCTACTATTTTACGCTGCATTTACAAGCCAAACAGAGTTTATAAATGCGTCTATAATTTAGCGACCACTCTATTCTTACAATTGCACCACAGAGGCAGGAACAATGAGCTAATTATAGGTTTCGTAATAACATAATGGAGATTTTAATTTAACGTCAATTACTCAAATCAGCCGTCTAAATTTATGTAACGCGAACGTTTGGATTACAGGTCTATACTTATCATGCTACATAAACCATGAAGTAGTAAGAATGCGAGAGACATTAAATTAAGATTTACATAAATTAAAATACATACGAAAATAAGTTTGAATACATTCTTTATATTAATATATGCTTTACTCTACCTCCCCGGAAATTGAGATAATAGCCCTCCCCCACATTAAGATTAAATGGCAATCCGGTGAGGCCTAAAACAATACCTAAGTAATTATGTTAACTAATGTCAATAAGTTTTGACTATATTGAGGCCAACCATAAGTTTGATAGATTGGTAATTTGCAGGAAATTCCTTTAAGCCATAACATAGCTTCGAGTAGGGGAACACACGCTTAGGCGCACGCGCACGTACACGCGGATGCACACGGAGGCACGCACGCACGCACGCACGCACGCACGCACGCACGCACGTACACACATACAGCGGATTGATTTTTACCGTGTAATAAACTCTAGCTCTCAACTGAAGTCAGCTAGTGGCTGTGACATCCCCTAGGTGGCGTGATAAACCAAAACCTACGGGCGTATACCCACATGGTGGACCGCAATCCTCCCTGCATGTGCGCACAACTACCGCAATTGAAATAAATTACCGCTGCTGAAGCGTGTTACGAATCCGAATCTGAACTGAGATAAATTCGCAATCGTATTTATGCATCGCAGCGCGTGTGCGCGTAGAACCGTGAAACGCAGCATCACGATCACGCACTGACAGACTTGATCCCAAACGTCCCTACACATATCGTTAAGCCTCAGCGACTAACGGAGTGAGCCGAATGCACTGCAGACACGCACATCATGCATGACCTGTGAAGAATACGACTACCCTAAAGACTTGAGTAACTAAACTAAACTTAACTGTATAACAGGACTCGTTAACTTGAACATTTCAAGATAAATACGCTGTTTAAGTTAGAATCCTATCTCAGCCATTAAGTAACTCAACTCAACTTGGGACTCGTTAACTTGATCATTTGTTCAAAGATAAACACACCGCGACCGCTTAAATTAAAATCCACACTCAGCTATTGTGGTGACGGCTCAGCAGCTCGCGATTTCTCTATACATATATGCATTTACTTGATTCACGCAATTTCTTCCACCTCCCGAGACACGCGGCAATTGTTTTTTTTTTGTGGGGGGGGGGGCTGTACTTTCTGTAATAAGTGGTACGCTATGGGGAGCCACCTGCCACTACTCGTGCAGCTTCAGTCCGAATCTTAGATTTCAACGATCAACGGCTGCATCCCCTGAGATTGTACGTGCCACGTCTACGTCATTCATCACGCAGCTGTCGCCGTGTGCTCGCGGGACCTATTCCCGCGCTCAGCACACGTAATGGCGAATATCAATTTTCTACAGGAGTAGGTGCAGCTCACCGGCTCAATAATTGTAATAAGTAATTGTTATCTGGACAATTGGTCTGGGTGGATGGGGGGTGGGGCAGTGATTCTTACAAAATCATAAATTGTAGTACATCACCATGAACAGTAGTAGAGCAGCTAGGTGTGTAGCCGGTCATGGGCTCAAAAAACATCGATAAAACCAGGAGTACGTTGGGAAATCATTTTGAAGATGGGATTAGTAAGATTAGTAAACGAAGGGAAACACAATTGCATTGAAGCTGGAAAAGCCAATCTAATTCCTAGCGATATTGATATGGATATCATTATCCCGATCACTCTAATCCTTTTACCACTTGCTTGCCCCCGTACTTTCCACCTACTCGTATTTCTATAACATGCTTTGAGCAACGCGTTTGAACAAAATCTGTGAACAACACATGTTATTTTCACACGCGGTGAAGCAAATGTCCATCCTCCATTGGACGCTTACATGTGGTGCTAACGTACCAAGAAACCTGTCTCACTGTCTCACAAGAAACTGTGATTTAAGCTACGCAAATTTCATGTTACACAATTTTTAATTACTGCATATTTGTTAGGTAATCGATGAGTACGATTATTTGCAGACATTACAAATCTCTATCACTGAGCAGTTTACACATTAACAACATTCAATCAGGATGCTTGCTTTCAAATAAAGACATGAAAAATTCATACGTACAGTACTGAAAGCAGATTGGGAAATGGCATCAGCAGGCATAGTGTTGGGGGACGTGATTGGCTCGGGAGAGGAGGGGTCAGAACTGTACATGTAATATTTATTTGACACAAATACTCGGGAGAAGAAGAAATATCAAAATGAGTTTCAGGCCTTGTTTAACCACACACTGCCTATACCCAAACATATAAAGCTCATAAGTAACATGACGTTATTATGTGTTATCAGGAGTTAATAAAGACAAACTCCTGGTTATTTATTTATTTATTAACTCCTGGTGTTATGTATACTGAGGACACGACATAACACGTGCAACATTCAATGCTTTATTACCGACGAGAAATATCATGCTCTCATCTCATAAAGACTGCAGATAGAACTAAGCAAGAACAATAACTACAATAACGCCTATCACTAGAATTTTAGCCTGTGATAAAATAGCTAGTCATATACCCGCAAAAGTCATGGAAATAGATCAACTATATTCACTATAGCATATCAAAAGTGACGTTTGTTCGATCATTACCAATATGATCTAAAGTGAATCCTTGAGAGTGAGAAAAGAGATAGACGGAGGTGAGAGGAGGGGAGACAGAGAAAGGAAAAGGGAAAGAAAGAAAAAGATAGAGGCATACAACGAGTAAGAAGGACAGTGAAGGGGAGAGACAGAGAGCCAGATAGAAAGAGAGGGAGAGAAAAACAGCAAGAGAGAGACGGGGGATACACATACACACACACACACACACACACAAACACACGCACGCACGCGAGAGAGAAAGTGGAAGTGAGGGGGAGGAAGGGCGTGGAAAGGGAGGGGGGGGGAGAGCGAGAGAGAGAGAGAGAAAGACTGGGGCAACAGAGGTATATATATATATTATATATATATATATATTATAATATATAAACGGCCGCCCTAGACATCTGATGGCAAGAGTGCAATTCCCAGCTGTAAAGTTGATATGTTATACGGGCAACTATTTTAGGCTTTCCTGTCCTAGTGTAATGTATTTTGACATAACGCCGCATATGACTCATTGATATGCCGGCCCAAGCTGATGGAACGTTCTGTGTTAAAGGGTGCAACTCTATACCGCTCGTGTAATGTGTAGTGACATAACCAAATAGGACTCGTTGAACACGCACGCGCAAGTTGATGGCATCGCGTGAGTAAATCTAATGGCAGTGAGCCACACGGACAGCAGTGTGTGCGTGATAATAGGCGCGTTCACACGGACGTTTTGGCCCGAGCTTAATTAGCCCGCGCCAGATTTGGCTCGAGCCGAGCGTTCACACGGACGGTTTTTCGGGCCGTGCCAAATTTTGGTCCCATCGAAAACGTCGGACCAGGCCCGAGCCAAATTTTAGCACCAGCTTTCGGCAAGCAGTAGAGCGGTAGAATCGGTTGAGCGGTAGATGCCACGAGTGTCGAACGTGTACTTCGCCGAAATAAAGTCCAAAACAGTATAAAAATTCGAAAAATTTGATCAGGATGCACGTTTTCAAGATTGATAATTGAACTCGGAACGTAAGTAAACACTCTGAATCGTACACAACGCCATCTCGCGACATACTGCCAAAGTATCTGTGAGATATTTGTGCAATAAAATTTATTTGAATTTGAATTTGAATTTGAATTTGACAGACAGTATTCACTTGCGTACGTGTGAACGCTCCGACTCAAACCGGCCCGAGCCAAATTTGGCCCGAGCCAAATTTCACCCATTTGGCTCGAGCCAAACCATGACCGTGTGAACGCGGCTAATGAGTTCGATGTGCTGTGCTCACTTCAACCACTCTCACACTTTTCCTGTAGCCCTGCCTTTCTCGACAATTTCTTTTGTCTTTTAATTTGATTTTATCATCTACATGATGTGCCGCCGTGCATGATTGCTTTGTGCAAATGCTCCTAAAATACACACGCAGCTGTGTGCATTAATTGGCATCGCTGATTTCGAGCAGCAAGGGTGATTAATTAATTGCCAGGCAGGAAGGGTGGAAGGGTGGAGGAGAGCGCGGGTACTACTCACCAAGACAATGTGTCCAGTTGATATGTCCATGTTGGTGGTGGCTGGCTCTTCACTCCTGCAACACACGCAAACACAAATCGCTCAGTATGTGCTACACACAGTAGATGAGCGGGAACCCCACATGAGATACCCAGGCAGACGTAACGGGTGCCCAAAGATTATTGACCGATTCATTACTGACCGCACACACGTGACAATGTTATTACACACCTTCCAACGGCTCTTGCGATGTAATGTGACTGCGAAGCCGAGTATCGTGAGTGCACATAGCCAAACGCCGTTACCACGTTCGTCATTGTCGCGAGGCCACTCAACGCAACTGCGTGTGGATTACCTACGGCTATAGCCTCCACGAGAAAATATTGCATTGCAACAGGAAAATTTCCCATTTTCGAATGGTTGATATCCAATTTCACTTACCATCGTGAAATTGCCGTTTAGCAATAGAAGTCTGCATGGTGGAATATTTCTTCCGTAAACAGCCTTCTTATATGAAAAATACACCTCATTTTTATTCACCCCTAAAACGTGCTGACCTGTCTAGGAGAAGTGTCTCGTATTTAGGGAGACGTTGGCCTACACCCCATGTTGAAGATTTATCGCAATTACTTGTGCTTTATAAAATATAATATCAAAGACTCTTTTCCTACTTCGTTTAAACACATTTACTATTTTCCTTTAGAGAAACGTTAAACGATGATATCAACTTACGAACGTAGAGACAATAAAGATTTCTCATTAATTTTAGCTTATTACGTTTCATATTTCTTTCCTATATTTTATCATGCACCTGCACATTGCTATTACCCGATACATATCTATTACATTTACCAACCCCTGCTATATGAAATGGAACATGCACACACATGCAAAAATCCATATGAAAAATTGAAGCAAATCTATTTACACAGTCTTTGCAATTAATTACTTGTTCAGCGAAGCAGAAATGACACGGCTATAAGATCTAGTGGTAAATGATTGAAACACTGCCTGCGTGACTGTGCTATAGAAAGGTGCATGCACGCGAAGCTCAAGATGTGCGTCACACCCATATATAAATATGTAGAGACACTAGTCTAACTATAGTATCATTTCTATGGTCACACCTCATGTTCATAACGCCATCAATGAGACACCGGCTATGCGCGCACCTGCCGCTAGCGGCGCTGATCGTCAACTCGGTTACTCAGCAACCCGCAAGTAAAGTGTTTACAATCACATTGAATAATTGCATTGAATAACCGAGTTGACGATCAGCGCCGCGCTGCGGATTAGTTCCGCCGGTACCCCATTTGGTGTAGACATGCCCACGTGTCATCGCGACTTCACGAATCAACAACGGCAGTATACACGTTAATGAATCTCTATAAATGTCTTCGCACTACTGCGAGGAGTAATATAATGTCAAGAGATAATAATACATATACACAAGTATATACACACATAATACAAAGACTAGTTCTACACTGCGAAAATTAGAAAGTAACATAATCAATCAAAACCTGATTTAACTGAAGATAAAAGTGCAATCTCCGTTCAAGCTACAATTTAAGTGAATTCTTGTGTTTAATAACAAACCCGACCTGAAACCATGCCAACAACAAGGGTGTAATTACATCGGGACTATAATTATGTTAACGAGCTCTTTTTTTCATGTATATAAGACTCCAGTGTGCGTAGAAAATGACAACAAATAAGCCCCGATCTGTAAATTCACAGCTCAAATAGTGGGTCACTGCAAATAGACCACGGGAGCGCTATACCAAACCTCATCAGAATTCGACAATAATCGATAGGCCAGCCATGAGAATCTGGCAATCAGCGATTACACAAAGTCAACACCTTCACAATGTTATTCAATAGTGAAAACGTCCTACAGGAAAATGCGTTAGCAT